TCTGTATGTAAGTCAGAACTGGCGGTCAGTTTCAGCAGCAGCTGAATCTGGACGCCAGTTCCAACTTACATACAGATTCAACTTAAGAACAAACCTACAGTCCCTATCTTGTACGTAACCCGGGGACTGCCTGTACATTTCATTAGCAACAGTTTGCTTCTCCTGTCCAGTGATGACTTATCATTTAAGATTGCAAACAGTTGTGATCATCTTAAGAATATCTGATTAGTAAAGACTTCCAGTTTCAAAACATCAGAAACCATGAAATATCATGAATTGTTTATACACAGAATCCTTCAACTTTGGAAACTAGCTAATTGATTATGTTTTCACAGATTTGTTCTCAGGGTGTCAATGGAAATGTCGAAAGTTTTAGTGGCCATTTCCTTAATTTCATTAGCCTTAAAAAAGAGGCAAATTGTTCTGCAAAGTCTCACAATCTGAATCAGTCTCAGAATATTGAAAATGAGCCAAACTCTTTACTGATCTATACCAGTGCAAGCAAATTTACTTTACACTGACCACGATATCTCACAGAACATGGACTATTGCCTTCTTATGAGACATCACTGTATTTGAGTATTCCTAGACTACCCAAAGAATTGACTGAGGAGATGACTGAACAATTAACAATAATCTTGGAAAAGTCATGGAAGCCAGGAAAGATTCCAGAGGACTAATACAATGCCAATCTATTAAAAGGATAATAAGAACAACCTAGGGCCGTGGTCACCAACAGGTCGATCGTGATCGACTGGTCGATATGAGGCCTTGACCAGTCGATCGCGAGGTGTCCTGTCTGCTCTGCCCCCATTTCCTTTCCACCCCCGAGAAGCCCCACTACCTACCTCAAGTGAAAATGGAGGTAGTGTAGGCTTACCGGGGATAGACGGAAGTCCCGCAGCTTAGCACTACTTCCGGCGATTCCGGAAGTAGCGCTAAGCTGCCCTGCTGGGTGCACTGCGGGAGGGAGCATCGACTCCCTGCACCACACAGGAGGAGTGAGTCAGCCCCAGGGCAGGCACGCGCGCGCGGGGTTTTCTTGCACCGAGGGGTTGGCCCCGGGGCAGGCATGCACTGGTTTCCCTCTGGGGGGGTGGGAATCCTGGGAGGAGACAGATACAGGGGACTTTCTGCCTCCACTGGCACCCCACTCCCCAGCCCTCACTCCCCAGCCACAGAACTCTGTCCCTACTCCCCTGTCCCCAGCCACAGAATTATGTCCCCACTGTCCTGTCCCCAGCTACAGAACTCTATCCCCACTCCCCAAACTCTGTCCCCACTCACCTGTCCCCAGCTACAGAACTCTGTCCCCACTCCTCTCTCTACTCCCGGAACGCTGTCCCCAGCCACAGAACTCTGTCCCTACTCCCCTGTCCCCAGCCACAGAATTATGTCCCCACTGTCCTGTCCCCAGCTACAGAACTCTATCCCCACTCCCCAAACTCTGTCCCCACTCACCTGTCCCCAGCTACAGAACTCTGTCCCCACTCCTCTCTCTACTCCCGGAACGCTGTCCCCAGCCACAGAACTCTGTCCCTACTCCCCTGTCCCCAGCCACAGAATTATGTCCCCACTGTCCTGTCCCCAGCTACAGAACTCTATCCCCACTGTCCCCACTGGCACTCTGTCCCCTGCTGCAGAACCCTGTCCTCTGTCCTCCTAGCACCCTGTTCCCTATTCCCTGCCCCCAGCCGCAGAACTCTGTCCCCACAAAATGTATAATTATAAATGCTTCATTTTAGATTTAAATAGCATGAATAAAAAACAGACCATTTATTTCATAACTATAAACATGTGATTTTAATTTTATACATCGCATAATTTAAAAATAAACTGTTTATCAGTGTGTAAGTAAGGGCTGGGGATAGTAAGTGATGGACAGGAGGAGAATAGAGAGGGCGGGGCTTCAAGGAAGGGGTGGGGCAGTAGATCTTCGCCTGTTCGGAGATTTAAAAAGTGATCTTGGTTGTAAAAAGGTTGGAGACCACTGACCTAGGGAATCATAGTCCAGTCATCTTAATTTCAGTACTCAAAAAGATAATGGAACAAATAATTAAGTAATCAATTTGCAACCACTTTGAAGATAATAGGGTGATGTAACAATCAGAATGGATTTTTCACAAACAAATCATGTCAAGCCAGCCTGACAGCTTTCTTTGACAGGGCAAAAAGCCTTGTAGATAGGGAGAAAGCAGTAGAGCTGATCTATCTTGGCTTGAATAGGCTTTTGATACAGTCTTGAATGACCTTCTAATTAACAAACCAACAGAGAGGTACTGTAAGGTGGGCTCCTAACAGTTGGAAAACTATATCCAGAGAGTAGCTAGCAGTGGTTCACAGTCAAGAGCATATTAAGTAGAGTCCTGCAGGAGTCGGTCCTGGGTCTGGTTCTGTTGATCACCTTCATCAATGATTTAGATAATGGCACAGAGTGTACACTTATAACATTTACAGATAATACCATGCTGGGAAGGATTGCACGTGCATTGGAGGATAGGAATAAACATTCAAAATAAACTGGACAAACTGAAGAAATGGTCTGAAGTAAATAGGATGGAATTCAATAAGGATGAATGCAAAGTGTTCCACTTAAGGAACTATCAGTTGCACACACAAAAAATGGGTAATGACTGACTAAGAAGGAAATTGTGGAAAGGATTTGGGGTCATAATAGAGCTACATATGAATCAATAGTGTAACTCTGTTGCAAAAAAGCAAGCATCCTTCAGGGATGTATTAGGAGTGTTGTAAGCCAACACACAAGAAGGAATTCTTCCACTCTACTCTGAGTTGATAAGGCCCCAACTATAGTATGTATCCAGGTCTGGGTGCCACATTTCCAGATAGATATGAACAAATTGGAGAAAGTCCAGAGAAGAGTAACTAAAAATATTAAATATCTTGAAAGTATGACTTGTGAATAAAGCTTGAAAAAAATGGGATTGTTTACTCTGGAGAAGAGAAAATGAGGGGCCATACATACAGGTCTTCTATAAGGAAGAGGGGGAAAATTGTTCTCATTAACCTCTGAGAATAGGACAAGACGCAATGGGATTAATTTATAGCAAGGGTGGTTTAGGTTGGTCATTAGGAAAATCTTCCTGTCGGGATGGTTAAGCATTGGCACAAACTGCTGAGGAAGGTTGTGGAGTCTCTGTCATTGGAAGGTTTTATGAATAGGTTAGACAAACAGCTGTCAGGGATCGCCTACATAATACTTAGTTCTGTCTTGTTTGCTGGGGACTGGACTAGAAGTCCTTTCCAATCCTATGATTCTATTCCCAACTAATATAACATCAGAGATTTTTTTGCTTTATTTATGCACTTCTGCCACACCCCTCATGATAAAGTCATGTCACAAATGCCAAAACATGAGTAACTAAAGACATAACAATATAGTTAGCCATATTTAGAAAAACAGCACTAAAGGAGGCATGATAGGGTCTGAGGCTGACTAACCATATGATCAGATCTAAGCCATCTTACCTGAATAGTGATAATAGGTAAGAGGTCTTCATATTTGATCTTTATAGCTTTAGCAGCTCTTCGGGAATGTTCATGTGTATCTGCAACCACTCCACCAATGATATGGCCAACACAAGTGACCTATTTATAAAAAGAGATTCCAGTGCTCACCATAATAAATCATTGAAAGGCTCACATTGATTTTTTTGCAACGTATTTTTTGAGAAATCAATTAAAACCAGCTTCAAGTACAATGAGAAAAATTCTGACTTTACCTACACTGATGCAAATCCAGAGTAATGATTTGTTGCCATCAACCTGAGACTTAAGATTCACTCAGCCAGGTGGAAGTCAGTAACTACTCCTATCCCTTTCCATGAAAACATGGCACCTTCTGTCACTGGAAACTAGGTTGGGTGAGTTTGTTGCAGCTGTTTGCAGTTTAACAAAGAATATTCAGGGCAGAAATCCTGGCCCCGCTGAAGTTAATGTCAAAACTTTCGCTGACAATGGAGTCGAGATTTCACTTTGCATATAATGGAGAACTTTACCAGAAGTAAATAACCCTATAATCTGCTGGTCTTTTATACTCCACAGACTAGACCTTTGTATATATATATTAAAAAAAAAAGCTAAGAAACTACATACCATGTTATCAGCAAAAACAGTTTCATCAAAGGCAATTCCAGAGACATTACTCCCAGGAATGTCCTTTACAGAGATGAAACACACAAAACCGGGAACACACTCGGCTTCAGTTGTATCTATAGAACTAAGGAAGCAAGTAACACAAACAACAGAGAATTACTATTTTCCATGTACATAGCACTATAAATGTGTATGGCATATTAAAGATTCTACAAGCCCTGATTTTCTTCTCTGCCTCTCTTGCCCTCTGTGCAGTCATTCACACATGTGCAGAGTAGGTTTGGAATGACACCAGATCAGAATGGTAACACTTTGTACTCCGCTTGATCAGGTGTAAATGGCTAAACAAGGAGCAAGGCAGTGAAGAATCATGCCAACAGAATCCAGAGGTCAGCATGGTCAAACGCTCTGGGACTGACTGGCAGGAGTCAACATTAACAAATTAGAAATCCCTAAAGGAATGTATGTGATTCTTTTACAATATGATACCCAGAGATAAATATCTCAGGGTATTTCTACACTATCCCGCTAGTTCGAACTAGCGGGGTAATGTAGGCATACCGCAATTGCAAATGAAGCCTGGGATTTGAACCCCCCAGCAGACCAGGGAGATGCGGAGCGGCTTTTCTCAGCAGACACTTCAGCTTGAGAATAAAGGACTGAGGGAAGTGAGGTGTGGGAGAATAAAACTGAGCTCTGGAGAAATGTTTGGCTAGAGTTTCCCCTACAATATGTACCAGTTCTGACTTACATACAAATTCAATTTAAGAACAAACCTACTGTCCCTAACTTGTATGTAACCCGGGGACTGCCTGTATATCTATTTACCTAAAAGAGCTTGTGTTTGCATTGTCCGAATGGTTAATAATTCAAGTAAGAGTGACTGAGGGTATGTCTACACTACCCCGCTAGTTCGAACTAGCGGGGTAGTGTAGACATACCCTCAGTCACTCTTACTTGAATTATTAACCATTCGGACAATGCAAACACAAGCTCTTTTAGGTCCGGGTTACGTACAAGATAGGGACTGTAGGTTTGTTCTTAAGTTGAATTTGTATGTAAGTCGGAACTGGTACATATTGTAGGGGAAACTCTAGCCAAACATTTCTCCAGAGCTCAGTTTTATTCTCCCACACCTCACTTCCCTCAGTCCTTTATTCTCAAGCTGAGGTGTCTGCTGAGAAAAGCCGCTCCACGTCTCCCTAGTCTGCTGGGGGTGAGGGGGCACTAGCTTCGCGTCTCCCTGGTCTGCTGGGGGGAAGCAGCTAGTGCGGGGTTGCCTCACCCCGTTTGCAAGTAGGGATCCGATGTAAGTCGGATCCATGTAATCCAGGGACTGCCTGTACACAGAGGCTTCGTCTACACTGCGAGATCTTCCGGCAAAAAATATGCTAATGTGCGACTCATTTGCACGAGTCACAGTCTCATTAGCATATTTTCTGCCATTTCGTTTTGCAAAAGGGGTTTTTGCACAAAACCCCCAGGAAAGGCATAAGGATCTTGCACAAAACAGGGGTTTTGCGCAAAAAAATGCCCATTTGCAGGGCTTCTTTTTGCGCAAAAACTCCTTGCACAAAAAGAAACGGCAGAAAATATGCTAATGAGATTGAGACTCATACAAAAGAGTCCCGCATTAGTATATTTTTTGCCAGAAGAGCTCACAGTGTAGTTGTAGCCAGAGAGAGCTCCTTGCAATGGATGGGTTGGGACCATTTTTAAGCTAACCTGTACACCATTTACATTTGCTTGTACATGTGATTACAAAATCCTGTATAAACAAGACAGTCTGACTAAACTGACAGTTTCAGTGACCACTGACAATGACATTTAGCAAAAACTTTTTTCTGTAGAAATTTGTTTTTAGTTACAGCCAGTCAAAGGTGATTCAGTCATCAATGAACAAATAGTACACAGATATTTTCCAGAATGCCAGAGAAATCCATGCTAAGGAGGATGAGAATATCTATTATTATGGTTAATACAGGAAATAACCATTAAATATTCGTGTGGTACTTTTAACATATTGATATCAAAGTGCTTTCTAAATGTAGGCATGCACTAGTATCTTTGTTACATTGCCTAAATTCACACAAGGAACAGAATCTATGTTTCTTGACTTCCAGCCGATACCCAATCACTGATTTAATTTACTTCCCCAGACAATCCTGTAATATACATCTTTCAGATGAGACATAACACTGAGTTTCAGCCTTCTGACCATTGAAGTTGTTAAAGATCCCACAGCATTTTTCACAAAAGATGGATTGTGGTTTGATGTGATGGCCTACCAGCCACTTATAGTCTGCCTATCTAATTCCTGTCCCAGCTGCCATATCACAATCAGAGGTTACAATAATGCAGTAGTGCCAGGACTGATCTTTTTTATGGTTTGTGAAACTTGGGGTTCCTTTGCGACAAAAGGTACTACATATTAAATAGATCTATTTATAAACCACTGAGGTGCAACCACCTCTGAGGAGAAACAGGGCTCGTAGTCTGGAAAATACTTGGGCCCTAACAATTCATTTATGATTGATGCATCATTAACTGGATATGAAGAAAAAGAAAATCCAGAGCAAAAGATCTCATTAAATGTCTTCTTTGCTCATCAAAAGAGGAATTTAGCCAATCATTTGCCTACAGCTTTACAATTAAATTTTTGTAAGTGATAGGTGGAATAATGGCCAACATTATATAATTTTTATATAAAGCTCTTCATAAAAACATATTACAAGAGACAGTAGAGCTCACTCTACAGCATTTTGTGAAATCATTGGGCAATTGGCTGGATTAACAATGGAACTATTTGACATAGAAAGGGCCATGGATTGTTTTCCCCGATTGAATGATTTATTGTCTTCAGCAAAATAGCTGCAATATTATCACAGTCTGTTGGTTTAGGTTCCTAAAACTCCCACACAAATTGTGCCTTAAAAGCAGTAGTCTGTGAAAAGCCAGTAACACATTAGGATGCTTAAAAAGAACATCATCTTAATGGTAAACGGGGGTAAAATATGTCTGAAATATAACTGTTCAGACATATTTCACTGAACAGTTCATTTTCCTCTATTTAAATATGACTCATTAATTATCTCCAAACCAGTAATACACAGGCAGATACACATGAGTGTGCACGCACGCATGCACGCACGCACACACACACACTTTTGTAGTTTTGCTAAATGATTATTGTTTGAGATCCAGGAACTGAAATCCTATATCTATTGATGTAAATAGGAGTGCACCCAGTGAATCTACAAAAGTGACGAGGAGTCCTGTGGCACCTTATAAACTAACAGATTTATTGGAGCATAAGCTTTTGTGGGCAAAGACCCACTTCATCAGATGCATGTCAGAAACTATAGGGTGATACACTTTTCTCCAGATCAAAGTAACTATTCTGCTGATTCGTCTACATTCAGAGACAAATTGCATTCATGCTGGGCATGTCTAGAGCCAACTGTCTTTTTAATTAGCAAGGGATGTGTATCTTTTTATACAGGTTGAACCTCTCTAATCCAGCACTTTCTGGTCAGGTAATATGCATGTTCTGGCATGATTTCAGCTAGCTAGATGTTCACTTATCATGGGTGCAGCCAAGTTTCCCACAGTTCCACAAAGTTTGTTTTCAACCACCAGCTCTGGCTCTCAGTTTTCTGTGCTGTTGTTTAGTTCTAATTTACTCCTAAATGCTAAATGTCTTGTAAGAGCTCATGTTAAGTGGACATCCAGCTCACTAAAATCATGCTGGAACACAGATGTTGCTGGATCAGAGAGTGCCAGACTAGAGAGGTTCAACCTGTAGTGTATAAAGAGCTTTATTGCTGTCTTTAGGAACTCATTCATCCAATCATTTGGTTATCATTGCACTGATGGCTTGAGCCTGCCCATATCAAGTGTGCAGCATTACGCATTCAAGTACATGGTAAAAGAAGGACCAGCACAAGGGCACAAAGGAACACAATCTTGCATTACCAAATGAGTGCTCTTGCGCAGCTACCAAGTGCTGCTGCCTCAAAGGTCAAAGTGTGTAGCAAAGCAGGTCCCAATTGCACGTGGAAGATGGCACGTAAGACAATGTATCCTCAGATGCACCCCATCTTGTGCCCATCCATTTTCCCTATTTCACTCTGCACTCCTATAAATAAAAAAGTGCCACCGCAAAGGGCATGGGACTGTTGTTTTTGCTTAATGAAGAAGACTTTGCCTAGCACTAAACTCACATCTAAGCTGGAGCACAGCAATAACCTGGTACTCACTGCTGATTGCCATGCGTGTGACTACACTGCACCATTATTTTGAAATAACAATGCGAGCGTCTACACAGCCATTGGCTACATCTACATAGGAATAAGAGATCCTCCGGAAAAGAGCTTATTTTCCGGAGGATCGCGTCCAGACTGGCGCTTTTCTCCGGCTTATCTACAAGCCAGAAAAAAGCGGCAGCCATGTTAATGCAAATGCCGCGGGCGATATTTAAATCCCCCGCGGATTTGCCTATTCCAAAGTGCTACATTTGCATCCTTATTACGGAATAGGGGCCAATGTAGAGACAGCCATTCCGTTATTTGAAAATAATTTTGAAATAACGAACAGCTTATTCCAAAATGTGTAAACCTCATTCTACAAGGAATAACACCTATTCTGAAATAGCTATTTTGAAATAAGGCGTGTGTAGATGCTCCCCTGCTGCCATTTCGAAATAGCCCTCACCAGGGCCATTCTAAGTTATTCCTTCACAATGCCTCTTGGGGCTCCAAACTGAGATAGCACATCTACATTAAGGAAGTCTGCCTCGGACTAATTTTGAGGCTTCCCTGCAGTGTAGATATGCTATTTCGAAATAAGCTATTGTGGAATAACTATTCCGGAATAGCTTATTTCATGGGGTAGACGTACCCCATGTGAGCATGAGCAGGAATATTTTCTTTAGGGCACAAACAGCTGAAATGTGCAAACCTCAGTAGTTCAGTTGCAGCTAATGATACTCAAGTAGCTAGAACTTCCTCAGAGAGCATGCTCCAGCCCAACAGGAATGCTGGGTACACTGTACGAACGCCAGGACAGAGAATGGACACTTACAGAATTTTGGCATGGGCTTTGGTGCTGGTGACCAGCGTTAAGTAGAGTTCATTTTCATAGCATGGTATGTCATCACAATAGACAGCCTCTCCACATGCCTGTTTGGCTGCTGAAAGGTGCACCAGAGGCCGTCCCACCATATCTTCCACAGACTGTCCTGCAGGCACTTCCTGAAACAAAACACACACTAAATATCCTTGCTCCTGTCACAGGATACCCAGATATAGAGGCTGGAAGGCATCTTCTATGATGGAGATGAGGGAAATAGGGAGTAGTTGGAGTGGGGCAAAGGAAAATAAATATGGATGAGAGAATATGAGAGTGGAACAGGACAATACTGTGGTAGAAAAAGAAGAGGAAGAGGTAAATTCAGCTTAAGATAACTCTAAGCTAAGGAGAAGAGAGGGGTTTGAATGGGACTCCATTTGTTCTTGCATGTGACTTGAAGGAAGAGCTAGCATGGGAAAGTGGAAATGTAAAAGCATCTTCCCCACTCTTTGTTGAGCAGAACTAGCCATGAGCAGAGAGTTAATATGAGCAGGCTGGGGGTGTAGGTGGATCTGAAGTCAGAGGCAGGTGAGAGCCTGCCCAAGGACCTTGGGAAGCAGAAGGGCAGCTTTGAGTTGAATCTGGAGGTGGATGAGTAGCCAGTGAACTTCACAAGGATAGAGGGAGGAGAGAGGAGCAACGTAGCTGATTGGAAAGAGATCTCTAGCAGCAGCCTGCTGGGATTCATACACTGAACATAATCAAAGAGAACATCATAGTACTCCAGTAAAGAAGTGCTTAAAGACCTCAACCATGACAGAATCCAGGCAAGAATCTTGGCCGTGCTCAGGAGGTGAAATAGAATACAGTGAGTCTAGAGTCATAGAGCAGGCCAGCCTAGATGACGTGCATATCACCACTTACTTGAAAGAGCTGAACGTTGTTAACAGGATCTTTATGAAACACTTTAGTGGCGCACACATATTCGTAGGGGACCAGCTCATGAGGGTTATTCTGCCAAAGACACAATAAAAAATGACCATCTCTTTTCTGTTTCCCTTTCCTTGTGTCTCCCAGGAGGTCTTTAGCCTTTTTCTCTTAATTGCCTAACTTTCACCGCACGATGCAATTTCACATCTAACGTGGCTCAGTCTGCCTATGTAACCCATCAGTTGAGTGGTGTGATTCGTCTCCTTTATAGGCTAGTCCACATAAAGGAGTTATGCTTCAGCTACTTTAGCTCAGGCTCTTGGCAAGGAAGTCCCAGGTTCAATCCCCAGTGAGTTCATTCATCTTTATAGGCCCCTGTGAACAGCAATAGCAGCAACAACAGTACGTGGAGAGGGCAGAAACTTAGGATCCTGCTTGCCTGCCACAGAACAGAGCCCGCTATAGGAAAAGTAAGGATGGGTGGCCAGGTGAGCTAATGGATCTGCTATGCAAATGATTAGATCTCTAGCATATACACAAAGAGCATCGTACTCCATGGCAGCTATAATAACAGATTGTCTTGGTAGAATAGATTCCTTCTGCACTCATTTTCCCAGTTCTCTCCCCAACACAGGGGCTAGGCATTGGAAACACATTTTTCACTGTGTGCTGAGAAGCTGCCCATTTTAATGTGTTCCATTCCACTGGGTCATCCTTTATTTCAGTCTCTCTATTCCAACCCCAGAGGGGAAGGGCAGCACTTACATTCCCATTGAGCTCGCTGTCCAATTTCTGAAGCACTGTCAGATAAAATTTAAAGAAGAAACTGAGCGTGAGCGTGCGCCGGAAATCCACCATCCCCCCCGGAGCTGATGGAGACAGGTTCATCTCCTCTGCCAAGAGGTGGCAGGCTTCCTGCAGCAGATCTTCATTCCATTCTCTGCCCAGGAACAAAGAAAAAAATAACAATAATAATATGGAGCAGTTCATTGCAGTTTACATAGGCAAAACATTTGCCAGACATTAATTAACATGTCCTTCCAACACCTGAACCCCACATCCTCACATACAATGACAGATCTCTGTCACACTTCTTTTGCCTTACCCCAAACAGAACTCCCCCTGACTTCAGGGGAAGTTCTGCTTTAGTTAGGGTTGCCAGATAGTTTCACCAAAAATACCAAACATGGCAGGAGAAAAATTGGTTGGGAAAAAAACAGGGAATAGGGGACCTCCACCTTTAAATCTCTGCACTCCTCCCACCTCCACCAGACGTGGCACGCCAGACACAGCAGAAGAATGTCCCTAGAGGCGTTCCATCCGAGAAAAACAGAAAATACCAAACATTTTACATGTCTGGTATTTCTGCGGGGTTTTTTACCAGACAGAAGCCGCAAATACCGGACTGTCCAGGCCAATACCAGACACCTGGCAACCCTTCCTTTAGTAAGGACAGATTAAGAGATAATGCAACTATGCAGTGCTCTAAAAGGGTATGTCTACACTAGCCACCCTAGTTCGGACTGGGGTGGCTAATGTAGTCATTCAAGCTTGCAAATGAAGCCCGGGATTTAAATATCCTGGGCTTCATTTGCATGTTCCCAGGCACCGCCATTTTTAAATGCCCTGTAGTTTGAACTACCTGCCCGCGGCTACACGCGGCATGGGCTAGGTAGTTCGAACTAAAGCTCCTAATTCGAATTACCATTATTCCTCATTGCAGGAGGGTGGACATACCCTAAGGCTGTGTCTACAGTGGCCACTTATTCCGGAAAAGCAGATGCTTTTCCGGAATAACTTGCCAGCTGTCAACACTGGCCGCTTGCTTTTCCGGAAAAGCATCCTGCCAATGTAGAGGCGCTTTTTCCAGAAATGCTTATAACAGAAAACTGTTCCGTTTTAAGCATTTCTGGAAAAAGCGCCTCTACATTGGCAGGATGCTTTTCCGGAAAAGCATCCTGCCAATGTAGAGGCGCTTTTTCCAGAAATGCTTATAACAGAAAACTGTTCCGTTTTAAGCATTTCTGGAAAAAGCGCCTCTACATTGGCAGGATGCTTTTCCGGAAAAGCATCCTGCCAATGTAGAGGCGCTTTTTCCAGAAATGCTTATAACAGAAAACTGTTCCGTTTTAAGCATTTCGGGAAAAGGGTGCCAATGTAGACGTAGCCGAACTGTGTAACTGAAACCATTTCTCCACAGTACCTACTCGGCTTCTGCTCTCTACAACACTCCTCTGGTAGCCACAGAAGCAATGGTAAAACCAACAACAATAATTTTGCAACAGAAAGTTTTTCCCTCAGAAAAGGCTTATTTAATGAAATTGAAAAAGCTCCCTGGGAATGTATCAATTTTTTATTGGGAATTATCAAAAATGTTTTCATTTCAACTTTGTTTTGGATTATATATGATACAAAGTCCAAATGATAAATTAAAAAGGGAATATTTTAGAATACTTAGTGTGTCTAAAAATCTTGACCTTTCTGCTCTTCACGATGATTCAGAGTTAAGTACAATTTTAAAATCTCAGAATTTCTCACAAAATAAGAAATCTTTTTTTTTAAACCAGCTCCATCAACGTATTCAACCAAGTATTGACAGCCCTAAAATAGGGCTACGGCTCAATGAAATCGCATCAATGACAGACTCCACATTTCTTGAGTGGATTTTAATCCTTGCAAGGAGCACTGGAAATCATGAGAGCATTAAGGATGGGGTCTGGGTAAGGTCAGACAAATCTGTTCAGGATTTTACCCAAACTTCTCACTCTTTTGTCCCTTGCTTATATTACCTCTTACAGATACGATAAGTGAGCATTCACAAACCTGGTCAGTTGCTATAAATTAACCCTTCAAAATGAATACTGTTGCACTAAGAAGCTAGAGATGAGATTATGATTCTCCTACCTGTGCATGAGTGCCTGGCAAGTTTTTCCTGCCATTACTGTTGTGGGAGCCATTCCTCCATAGCTCAATTTAATCTTCTTGACTTGATTCCTAACTTCTTTAAAGAGGACTCTCATTCCACAGGTCACTATAGCAATGTCATCCTCCCGACGGGAAGCCTGCTTAAAGGCTGAGAAATACTCACCCTAGAAGAGGGGAAAGAATTTGTTCTCAACTTGGGTCACAAGCAAAAGCCAGAAGCAGAATGTGGACAGCCTAGTAATCTACTCCTCTGGCCAGGATGCACAAGATAATTCCACATGGAGAGCTGACTTTGCATTCTGAATGAGAAATCATTTTTCAGAAAAGACCATTTTTCCCCATGATTCAAAGCTGGGTTTTAGGCCAGCTGAGAAATCTTCAGTCCATCATGAGCTGTTTTAAAGTTACTTACTCTTCCTGTAAGGGTTGAAAACTGTCAGAGAATATTCTGTCGATATCTGTCCTCTCTCTCCTCTAGCTTTGGAAAAGAAATGAATGACTACTAAATTGTCATAGAGTTATATGAGAAACTATGTTTACTTCACTGGCCAAACCAAAAAAAATTGTTTGTACTTTTTAATTTTGGCAAATCAAGAAGCTGACAAAAAATGGTGCAACAAACAAAATGTTTCATTCAAAATTAAACAGTTCATTTTGTTTTTGAGGATTTTTACCTTAAAAAAATAAATAAAAGTCAAGTAGATGTCTACATGAAAAGCTTCAAAACAATCCAATGATTTCAACAGAAAAATGTCAAAATGAAATGCTTTGATTTTTTGTGAATATTTTACAAATATTTTTAACTGAAACAATTTGGCAAATTTGACATGAATTCGCTAAACTTTTGGATCACCACCTTTGAAATTCTTCGAAAAAAAAAGAAGTTTCAGATGAAAAATTTCACCCAGCTCTATTTCCTTCTCTCAGCAATTCCATCTTTTTCCTTGTGTTAATCAGATAGGGTATGTCTACACTACCCCGCTAGTGCGAACTAGCGGGGTAATGTATGCATACCGAACATGCAAATGAAGCCCGGGATTTGAATTTCCCGGGCTTTATTTGCATAAGCCGGCCGGCGCCATTTTTAAATGCCGGCTTGTTCGAACCCCGTGCCGCGCGGCTACATGCGACACGGGCTAGATAGTTCGGACTAGCAAGCCATTCCGAACTATCTGTACACCTCGTTCCAGGGCGAGTGGAGAGACTGCTGTGCTGCTTTGACATTCCTCAGCATGGAGAGCTCACTGAGCTACAAAGGAATTCCTAGAAGCTCAAGGATCAGTTGTGCCTTCCCACAACACTGCACTGTGAGATGCTCACCCACATTGCTTTGCTCTGTCTTTCAACAGGGGAGCTAGCAATGTGGTCATGAAATGTTGACAATGGGAGGCAGAAAAACTGGTTTGACCATTTTTTCGCTTTTGGCAACTTTTGCCTGTCAACAGCACTTTCATCGTCAAACCTTCCAGTGTAGACATAGCCTAAGTCACTGAGCAGCCAGCAGAAAGTTCTGTTCAGTTAATCATCCTCTCTCAGGAGCAGCCAGGAGTGATTCCTCTATTGTTTATAATGAGCGCAGTCCCTCAAAGGTCTGGCTTTGTGCCTGGAGAACTCATTACTGGAGGAACCCAGCTAAAGCATACATGTCACATCCTGCATGATTCTTTCCACACATGACGCTAATTAGCAGGCAGCCAGCCAGCAGGTAATGTGAGAACCACAAGTATTGGTGCTCTCCCTGCCAACGTATCTCATTTTGCTACTTTGCTTGTTATGCTAATTAACCGACAAAGAGGAAATGCAGTCTCTACTCTCGCTTTGCATTTCAATGGAGCTTTCCAGTCATGAAGTGATCTTGAGAAGTTGATACTCAGCAAATCTCCTGTAGACTCTGTACCAGAGGCCAGGACTTCACTGCCCTAAAGGTGCAGTTTTTACAATGAGACACAAGTTAAACAAAGCACGTGGAATTTATTCCACCATATAGCTAGGTAAGCTCAATACTATATGCCCCTTGTACAGCCCTCAGCTAACCTTGATACTGGGGCCTGATTTCTTCAAGCTTGTTACAGTAGGATAAAACTAACTTGCATTAGTCACCTAGCAGTAAAAACACACCCATCTGATCAGTGAAGACAAAGAAAGAAAGGGTTTTCCTGGTAGCAGCAGGAGTTTCAGTTGCAAATCAAAATTACTTTCTTCTCTTCCACACCCACGTGTCAGATGGCAGCTTGCCCGCTTATGTCACATTAACAATGCCAACTCAGTGGGAAAAGTGTAGCAGCCAATATTCACATTTTCAGGGATAACACTGCAATGCAAGCTTCTTCCCCAGCAAGCATCACAAAAGAGGAAGGCCAATCGAGATGTCCAATAATAAAATTGCAATAGGTGATATTAATAGGAGAGATGAAGGAGGGGTTGGTTGTCACCCTTTGAATTTCCTTCTGTAAGGTAAACTTGTTTAGATCAGGAAGTTGTGATACCATGTGAGGATACGGAGCCAAAATCAAGATGAAAAAAATTTCGAAGTGAAGATATACACACTAGACAAATCAACATTCACCACTGAGATGTCATCTCCATTGGATAAGACAATGGCTTTACAAATTACAACTACACTGAGCAACAGTGAAGGTTGCTGAACATGGGGCTTGAATCTCTATTTTGTTATATCGGCTTTACACGCGTATGACACCAGTGAAATCAACAGAATTATAACAGTATAAAACTGGTGTGACGCAATGGAAAGCCAGACCCTTCCTACTGGCACTGTGCTAAGCCAGCCTCTCTGTAACTCAGCTTACCAATTGCCAAAATATTTTGACCCTGGACCACCTTGCCTGCCACTTAGAAGAAAGAAAATCTTCTTACCAATATTCAAATAGATTTGGGCATGCATTGAAGAACTTTAATTACTGAGCTGAGCTGAGCTGATATAAAAGCCAAAGACGAGTCAAGACATCATGATCTTCAGAGAGCTCAAAAGTTGCTTTGGTTTTTCAAGGTCAACTGATGAACATCTGCAGGACCAGGCTATAGGTTATGTCAATTGCTTGATGGGGTGACTTTGCACAATTTGCTGAGCATGAGTTAGTTTCCTTAGCAAAGCCATAAACCTGTTGACATGTTGAGTTTTTCATTGATTTCCTCATTTCACTTCCTTATTTTTCAGGAACTGATCTTATTCACAATTACCATGAGCTCAAAATGACTGATAAGGAAATGAAATGCCACAACAAATAAAATATCCAATTACCCTTAATAGTCTGGGATAAAGAAATATGACTTGAAGTGCGGGATAACCAGAAATTGGAAAAGAAGGTTTTGGTTCCATCCCATCATATAATGGGCATTATTGCTATCGCTCTCTGAACACCTGCCATTTATTAAAAGAAAAGACTAAATCACTGCACAGAGAATCCTTTCATCTTCTGACTAATAGGATCAAGTTCTGTATTTGTAAAAAGGGTTACAAACTGTTATGAAAAAATGTTGATTCTGAGGAGGACTGTATGATTCATGGTTGATAGTGCTAAATAGTGGCTTTTACCACTAGTTGTGACTTGTTAAATTTCAAACCATGCCACCGGTGAACAGATTTGATCATTGTTCAGTTTGAGGTGAGTTTCATGGCCTCAGTCCAGGTCCCCACAGAATAAAGTCCATAGTGCAAAAACCACCACCCTGACCAGTGCTTTTGTTTACAGTCTCAGCAAATATAGGCCAAGGACTGAGTGGACCCAGAAACTGCTCTGCCTTCTTATCCCTAGAGACTAACTTTATAGTTCACAGTCAAGAAACAGAGGCATAGGTTCTGAGGCCAGAAGGGACCATTGTGATCAACTAGTCACCACCTGTATAACACAGGCCATAGAACTCTCTCAAAAGAATTTCTAGAGCAGAGCTTTTAGCAAACCATCCCTCCTTGACTTAAAAACTATCAGCGATGGAGAATCAACCACATTCCTTGGTAAAATGTTCCAACGGTTAACTCCACAAGAACTATATGGGGAAGTTTGAAGGGCCACCAGCTTTACTGTGATCAACAGGGAACTTGAATCTGCAGGAATATTAAACTAACACCTTCTGACAGATCTGAACTCACTTGGGAGGGGAGGGAAACCCCAAAACACTCAGGTGAAATGTTCTGCCAATCTGATGATTTCCTGTACTAGTTAAATACCTGAATTTGATAGGCTCCTCTGACTGTGGATATAGCTGTGCATTGTTCCATACAGGGGAAGGGGGCAAAACTTCATTGGTCAACTAATTGATGCTTTAATACTTTACATTTTGTGTTGTCATCTTGCTCCTCCTTATGGAGAGGGAACTGAAACACAACACTCCATGCAGTGCAGCCAGGACTGTTTTTGAAAATGAAGTAGTAGCAGTGAAGTAAAAAAAATATCTGCAGTGGGGAACTGGCTGAGGATAAGTCCAGCATGGGACTTCCTTGGGGAAATAGCTTTTGTTAGATTTGCCAAAACATTGAGTAGAAAAGCCTTTCAGCATCTCCCATCCATGTCTTTTCCCACCTCCAAAAATCATCCAGAAGGAAGTAGAGATATTCATTACACTGACAGTTCATTTCTAAAAACTGTATTGTCAGATAGCTTCAGAGGAAATATTGCATTGATTTCAGCTAGCTTTCTTATTATTATTTTCTTGGGGTCCACCCATATTTCTTGACAGCCTAAAAGGTTATGTTGAGAAGGCTCGTATGTTTCTGGTAGACAGCCACTAAGAGGCTTAAATAATGTTTGGAGTTCCCCATCTAAGGACATATTATAATAGCCAAAATTGAATACAGAGCACTTTTGATCCAAGAGGGGTCAGACATTCTAAAAATGACCCCCACCCCTTCTGGCTGACCCAGTAAAGGACTATTTAAGTACATCTCTGCTGGAAGTCAGTCTTCAAGGAAAGGTTAGTTTAGAAGCATTAGGCACTTTTGGGTTTCCTATAGAGCAACACCAAAAGAACAGCACAGGTTTACACGGCTATTAGATTATTGTTAATTCCAACCTCTCACCTTCCTAGTGAACGGTATCTCAATGGAGAGCAGTATCTCATTAGGCTTTAGTGCTGTCTTTCTATAACCAGTAAAGAAGTTTTTATCCATCTTTATCGTCCTTCTGCCTTCTGCAGAACAGGGAAAGGAAAGAGAAACAAATTGGCTAGTTGAGTGTATCAGGCAATAGTTTCCAACTGCATCCAGATAAAAAACTATGGTCAGGTATGTAGAGGGAACTTTGCAGCTACATGAACTAAAGTTGATACAATTTCTGTTATTTTCCTTCTTCATTTCTAAATCTTTTTAGCCAAATCCTGAATAACTTCAAGGTCAGCTCAGCCCTTATGCAGGAATAGCTCCCACTGACTTCTGTAGGAATTTTGACGGCATATGGGCTGAGTCAAATATGAAATAAAGACTTTGGGATGTGTCCCTTTGGGATATGCTGAATCAGTTTCCAGTATCCCTAATTAGAGCTCTGTGAATAAAAAATTTGTCAGTTTGCTGGCAATTCCAAAACATTTAAAAAAATCATCTTTCAAAACACAATTATTTCAAAATGTTCATTAAGTCAAATACATAACAATAACTATAAAATATCATTTTGTTTTAATCTCAAACATTTTTGACATTTTAACTTTTTTGGAATGACTTTTTAAAAGGGTGCTTTTGGCTAAAACGATATGACAAAACTGACACAAATTCTCAATGTTGTAGCTGTGTTGGTCCCAGCATATCATATCTGGAGAAGGGCTCTATGTACTTTGAAAGCTTGTCTCTTTCACCAACAGAAGTTAGTTCAGTGAAAGATATTACCTTACTCACCTTGTCTCACAAATTCCCAATACATTTCAGTGTTACCAAGTCTTTATTATTTTCCCTAAAACAGTTTTGTTGAAAAATTTCACCCAGCACTTATCCCAATGTACCTTTTTCACCATTAACAGGAGAACATTACAAACTATCACTTTTTCTTAATTCCCAAAAGGATCTTCTTTATACCAACCCCTTCAAAATCTTCTGAATAGCAAATACTGTATATGATCTTTGTCATATTTAGCATGATAGTACAAGTCAACTGTGCGGCACTGTTGCAAAAAAAATCAGATATCATTTCTAGGATGTATTAGTAGGAGTGCTGTAAGCAAGACATGACAAGTAATTCTCCCACTCTACTCTGCACTGATTAGGCCTCAACTTAAGTATTGTTTCCTGTTCTGGGCACCACATTTCAGGAAAGCTGTGGAGAAACTGGAGAAAGTCAAGAGAAAAGCAAAAAAACAATTAAGGTGTAAAAACATGATCGTTGAGTGAAGTTTAAAAAAAATGGAGTTGATTCAGTCTTCTCCAGATTAGAGTGGACATAATAAAAGTTTTTAAGAACCTACAAAGTTGTTACAAGGAGGAGGGAGAAAATTGTTCTCATTAATCTCTGAAGATAGGGCAAGAAGCAATGGGCTTAAAATGCAGCAAGGGTGGTTTAAGTTGGACATTAGGAAAAACTTCCTGTCAGGGTAGTTAAGCACTGGAATAAATTGCTCAGGGAGGTTGTGAACTCTCCATTATTGGAGATTTTTAAGAGGAGATCAGATAATTACCTGTCAGGAATGGTCTAGATAATACTTAGTCCTGCCCTGAGTGCAGGGAACTGTCTACATGACCTCCCGAGATCCCTTCCAGTTGTATGATTCTATGAAAAGTCAGATAACAACTCTGATCTCACAAGACCCATGGGTCACAGAATCATAGAACTGAAAGAGACCTCAAGAGATCATCTAGTCAAGGCCCCTGTCCCATCCCAAGGAACTATGGTGATAGAAACAAGGACTTCTTTCCCATGGTCACCATAATCACTTTACTTCTTCCTCAGGAATGCACCTTTTCAGTTAGAATAGTGATAGAAATGTAGCCGTGTTAGTCTGGTGTAGCTGAAACAAAAAACAGGACTATGTAGCACTTTAAAGACTAACAAGATGGTTTATTAGGCGATGAGCTTTCGTGGGCCAGACCCATTTCCTCAGATCAAAAGTGGAAGAAAATTGTCACAACCATATAAACGAAAGGATACAATTTAAAAAAATGAACACATATGAAAAGGACAAATCAAATTTCAGAACAGAAATTCTGTTCTGAAATTTGATTTGTCCTTTTCATATGTGTTCATTTTTTTAAATTGTATCCTTTCGTTTATATGGTTGTGACAATTTTCTTCCACTTTTGATCTGAGGAAATGGGTCTGGCCCACGAAAGCTCATCGCCTAATAAACCATCTTGTTAGTCTTTAAAGTGCTACATAGTCCTGTTTTTTCCTTTTCAGTTAATTTTCTATCTGTGGAGGGAGAGGAGGTAGGGGTGTTAGCATGATTCTTTTGAACATCTGCCATAATAAAAGCAAAAGGGATTCTTTATTGAGACTGTGGAACATAGATAGGCCTTGTGATTCTCCCTAGCTGTTAAGCAGCCAGGGAAATTAAAACAGAGTCCTTAACGTTATATGTGGGGTTTTCTCCCCTATGTTCTGGTCTGAACTAAGCAGTTATAGAAAAGGACTATTGATTATACTACATCCCCCATTGTCATTTAGAACTGTGAATAAACTTACCAATTGATGCCAAAGTCAATTTGCTGCCACATGCCATAAAGACAGGGTTGAGATCAGAAATTGGACTTGCAGTCATTATATTTCCCCCAAGGGCCTGAAACAAAGCAAACCGAACACATGGGTTAGACGACAGTTAAAAAGGTATGGCTCATGCTACTTTGCTCTGTGTCACTGATTCACCCAAAGCTCTAGAGCTTGACTAGATTTATATTTGTTTTGCTACCATGCCAACTTTAGGGCCTTTATTCAGTTCCCATGATGAACACACAAGACCCACAGAGCCAGTTTCAATCCTAATCAATAGAGTGATATAACTGAAATGGTTTTCAACGACAGTCCTTAGCTACATATGATAAATGCCTCGTGCTTTAATCATTCATGGTAATGGCTCCAAAGTTCAAATACAGGAACCTTAATCAATGGCCCAACCCTACAAGGTGCCTAGCACCCCCTGAAAAATTCTCTTAGAACCTTGCACCGTAAGGACTCGTGTCAGGTTTTTCAGCCTGCAATAAAAACGATTTTCTTATTCAACTGGTCTCTGGACCTCAAAAAACATAGCTCTAGATAACCTGCCAAGCACAGAGGAGAGCTCTAGTAAGATCAGTGGATGTTCATATTCTTGCTTTAAGAGCAGCACTTGAACTGGGGTTTGCAGGGAACAAGGCTTCAGGAGCTACCAGCTGCCACACTCATCACTGAGCAAGGTGACCATGTTAGCGTCACATTGCAGAGATACTGGCCAACCCACTTCTCCCCATGTGGGCATAGGGCGATTCAGACCAGAACAAACCACATCAGCTCTGCTTGTGTCATTCAGGCAGCCTTGTGACACCGTTACAGATAATCCCCTAGTGAGGGCTGCCATGTGAAGCAGTAGCAGTGACTATCGACGATGGAGTCTCTTTTGCTTACAGAATTATGGAGTCAATGCTCTGAGGCTGCCTGGTCAGGCTTTTCTGTTACAGACCCTTTGACACTGTGGATCTACCATGTGTGCTTCTTTGTGATATCTCTCCACAGTGCCTGGCTGCTCTAGAGTTTTCCCCTTTGTCTGGTAATAGTGATCAATGCAGCAGATTCCTTCCACTTCCCCTTGGTGAGCTGCCTCTGTCATAGAGCAGTGGCTCTCAACCTCTTTAGGCTACTGCATCCCTTCAGAACATAACGTAAGAACATAAGAATGGCCATCCTGGGTCAGACCAAAGGTCCATCTAGACCAGTGTCCTGTCTGCCGATAGTGGCCAATACCAGATGCCCCAAAAGGAGGGATCACAACAGGAAATCCTCACATGATCCCTCTCCTGTCACCCACCTCCAGAGAAACAGAGGCCAGGAACACCATTTCTACCCATCCTGACTAATAGCCACTGATGGACCTAACCCCCATGAATTTATCTAGCTCTTTCAGGAAACTGATGTGTTGTGTAGCCCCAAGTCTTATCTCACTTAAAAACAATTTGCTTACAAAATTAGACATAAAAAGTACCACAGCGCACTTTGACTAAAACAATGCTTACTTTCTCACTTTTACCATAGAATTATAAAATAAATCAATTAGAATGTAAATGTTTACCTATATTTCAGTGTATAGTATATAAGTTTGCACTGACTTCACTATGCTTTTTCTGTGCTTTTTATGTTGCCTATCATAAAACTGGTCAAATATCTGAATGAGTTGATATACCCCATGAAAGACCTCTAAAAACCCCCAGGGGTACACATACCTTTTATTGAGAACCACTGTCATATAGCAACCTTAGACAATATGGGTGTGTCTAGACTACATGCCTCCTTCGACGGAGGCATGTAGATTAGCCAGATCG